GAATTCCTCAGCCAGCAACACTGGCTGAGGAATTCTGGGAGTTGAAGTCCACAAGTCATAAAAGGGATATACTGTGGATATACGTATATACACATATACATGTGTCTGAAGACTGCTGGTATAAAGGGAAGACTCTGCTGATGTGTTCTCTCTTCTGTTTCCTGCTGTAATTGTGGTTTGTTGGATCCTGCTGTATTAGCACGTGTGTGTATATTGTTCCTGGTGTATGATATGGTAGACAGGCTAAGATAAACCATCATTTAATGCAAACCACTGTTTACTGCGTTTACTCCTGGGTTATCTCAGTGCAATAAGACTGTGCATGCTCTGACAGACAGTTGTTAAGTGTATTTTGCCCCATTCTACAACCTTTCTTCTCACAGTTGTTAGGAGCTTTACTGCAGTTGTTGAGTTAGCAACACTGTGGTTAAGTGTCTATGGAGATTCTCCATTCATCCCGGTCACGGGTGTCCCAAAGGTGCTTTTTCAAGAGGCAATTTGGGCTTCCTTCCCTTAAAGACGTTTCGCTCCTCCTCCAGGAAGCTCCAGTTCTGACTCAGACAGCCATTCAGTGAATCCGGCTCCTGACTTTGCGTCGTCAGGAGGTCACAAAAGGGGATCACATCTCTCTCTCTCTCTCTCTCTCTCTCTCTCTCTCTCTCTCTCTCTCTCTCTCTCTCTCTCTCTCTCTCTCTCTCTCTCTCACACACACACACACACACACACAGGACGCTGCAACCGTCATAAGTACAAACCAGTTGCCAAGCATCTGAATTTTGATCGTGTAACCATGGAAACGCTGCAATGGTCTTGAGTGTGAAAAACGGTTCTAAGTTTTCGGTGTCGTAACTTCAGTCACTAAATGAATGATTGTACGTCGAGGACCATCTGTAATATGGGTCCAACTGTCAAGCGTTTCACGTAATCTTTTATTTTGCACTCCTGGAGAGTTGTCGTTTTTCAAAATTCTCACAGCCCTTATATGCCCTTTCATCCCTTCTTCCTTGAGGCGAACGTTGACGAGCCTGCCTTTCATTTCTACCTTCAGCACATCCTTCTTATTCATCCATCTTTTCATTATTCACTCATTTCAGTCATGACTTTCCTTTTTTTAATTCTAATAACTCTGCTGAAAGCTCCTTGTTTAGCTGTTTTCATCTACCTCCAATTTTTTTAAAAAATCCCCATTAAAAAGACTTAGCATTTCCTTTGCCTCTTTCGGCTCTTTTTTTTTTTTTTTTGCTTGTGACCCCCCTTTGCCAATTTTCCTAGGAAATGTCTTATTTTTCCTCTTCAAACATTATAAGACACCTTCCTCTCGTCCTCACGATTTTCAGCAATCCTTTTCTTAAGTCTATTTTTTTTTTCATCCACAGCCTCTTCCCCTTCATTCCGCATATTTTCCATCACCATTTGCATAACTCAACATCCTTCCTGGCACCACGGTAATATCATGTTCTTTGCTCTGATCCCTGCAATTTTGATAACCTCCTTCCACGTTTTCTATCCAAAACTAACCTGCCTTCTCACAGCCTTTCAAACAGGAGGCACACTTCTAAAGGTTGTTTTCTTTTCATTCTAGTTTCTTTTGCAACTTTCATACGTTCATACTTTCTCTCTTACATTTAGCCCTTTGAATTTATGTAATTAATCTCTCCCCCCCCCCTTGCAGGTCCCTGCATGTATTCATCAACTCTACTCTATAAGATCAGACCACCTTCATTCAATGTTATTTTCTCCCCATTTCTCTTCATTGCATAGACCAGGGGTTCTTAACCTGTGGGTCGGGACCCCATTTGGGGTCGAACGACCATTTCACGGGGGTCGCCAAACAACGAAGTCCGCCATTTTTTTCCCCCTTTTCCTTAGCTGTGCTCCTCCCTTTTATTCTATTGGCTTTTGAAAGCCAATAGAAGAGACTCTCTTGCATAGAGTCTAATTCTATTGGCTTTCCAAAGCCAATAGGAATTGTCCAGGCTGTCTCTGCCCTGCTGAGCCCGCCAAAAGTCCCATTCTGCAAACGGTGCTGCACCAGTTGAGTAGTCCTCGACCTACGACCGGTTGAGTAGTCCTCAACTTACGACCGGTTGGGAGTCGCGGCATTAAAAAGGTTGAGAACCACTGGCATAGACACACACAACTCCTTCCTTCCTTCCCTTCCCTCTCCTTCCTCATTCCCTCCTTCTTTTCTCCTCCCTTCCTTCCCTCCCCTTCTCCTTCCTTCCTTCTTCCTTCCTTTCTTTCTTCCCTCCTTCCTGCTTTCATTACTTCATTCTTTCCCTCCCTCCCCATCCCCTCCTTCATTCCTTCCCTTCCCCCTTCCTTCCCTCCCTCCTCATTCCCTCCTTCCCTTCTCCCTTCCCTTCCCCTCCCTCCTTCCCTTTTCCTCCCTTCCTCCCCTTCTTCTCCTCTCTTCCTCCCCTTCCTGCCTTCATTCTTTCCTTCCCTCCCTCCCCTCATTCCTTCCTTCCCTTCTCCCTTCCTTCCTTCCTTTCTTCCTTCCTTCCTTCCCTTCCCTTCCCTCCCCTTATCCATCTATCCATCCATCCACCCACCCACCCACCCACCATCTTCACTCATGTACTCTTCCTTCCAACTTGTAATCTTCCATAAGCCACAGTCATCCCTGGATGTGCCCAGTGATACTGACTTCCACCGCCCATCATGTCTTTGGTCCATCAATATTTTTACAGAAGACCTTTCAGTAAGATGGAATAGAAGTAGACTCGGTCACCAGCCTTAGTCACAGTTGTGCCCTAGGCAGACTTCCCTGTGAACAGGAAGGGCACTGCCAGGGAATTTGGGACAAAATTTTGCTTATCTTCTAAAATAGCTGAACCACCCCCCCCCCCATGGCTGTTTGTTTTGCGTTGCAATCCAAGGTGCTAGCCCTCATCGACTAAGCCATTTAGCCTGTGGATACAGGACTGGATTTCCACTTGGCCTGGACTCCGGATGTGTTCCTGAATTGTTACCATGGATACTTTCCCTGCGCAATCCTGCTAAGGCTTGAGGCCTACAGGATTCGGCAGTCCTTGATTTACAATTACAATTGAGGCCAACATTTCTTGCCAAGTAGGTCACAAACAGGGATCATGTGACATACACACACACCCTGGGACGCTGCAACCGTCATAATTATGAGTGACTTGCCAGGTGCCTGAATTTTGATCATGTGATCACGGGGATGCGGAAGTAGTAGTAAGTGTGAAAAACGGTCATATGTCACTTTTGACAGTGTGGTTGTAGATTTGAAAGGTCACTAAATCATAACAGAATAACAGAGTTGGAAGGGACCGTAAAGGTCTTCTAGTCCAACCTCCCCAGGGCACAGGTAAGAAACCCTAAATCATTTCAGACAAATGGTTGTCCAGTCTCTTAAAAAAATCTTCATTGGAGCATTTACTGCTTCTGGAGGCAGGTTGTTCCACTGGTTAATTGTTCTCATTGTCAGGAAGTTTCTCCTTAGTTCCAGCTTGCTTCTCTCCTTGATCAGTTTCCATCCGTTGCTTCTTGTCCTGCCTTCAGATGCTTTGGGGAATAGCTTGACTCCCTCTTCTTTGGGGCAGCCCCTGAGATATTGTCACTAAATAATAACAGAATAATAAAGTTGGAATGGACCTTGGAGGTCATTTAATCCCACCTGCTGCTCAGGCAGGAAACCCTATACCATTTCAGACAAATGGCTGTCCAGTCTCTTCTTAAAAACGTCCAGTGTTGGAGCATTCACCGCTTCTGGAGGCAGGTTGTTCCACTGGTTAATTGTTCTCCCTGTCAGGAAGTTTCTCCTTAGTTCTAGGCTGCTTCTCTTCTTGATGTGTTTCCATCCGTGGCTCCTTGTCCTGCCTTCATAAACTGTTGCAAATCAAGGACTACCTGTGTACAAGTCAAAGACCATTGCAGCATCCTCAGGACCACGTGACCAACATTCAGATGCTTGGCAGCTGACTCGCATTTAGGATGGTTTCACTGCACTGGAGAAAAATGCAGGTAGACCCTTCAGCTAAAGGGGTAAAAAAAAAAAAGTCTCTGAAGCAATGGTGGGATTCAAATAGGTGAAAAACCGGTTCTCTGTGTGGATGCCGCTTCTGGAAGTCCATTTTGGGTCTGGGCAACAAAAAATTAGCTACCGGTTCTGCCGAAGTGGTACTGAATCCCACCACTATATCTATCTATCTATCTATCTATCTATCTATCTATCTATCTATCTATCTATCTATCTATCTATCTATCTATCTTATTTATCTATCTATCATCCATCTACAGTGATGGGATTCAAATATGTGAACAACCGCTTCTCTGCGTGGATGCCGCTTCCGGAAGTCCGTTGTGGGCCTGGGCAATAAAAAATTAGCTACCGGTTCTGCCGAAGTGGTACTGAATCCCACCACTATATCTGTCTGTCTGTCTGTCTGTCTGTCTGTCTGTCTGTCTGCCTGCCTGTCTGCCTGCCTGCCTGCCTATCTATCTATCTATCTATCTATCTATCTATCTATCTATCTATCTATCTATCATCCATCTACAGTGATGGGATTCAAATATGTGAACAACCGCTTCTCTGCGTGGATGCCGCTTCCGGAAGTCCGTTGTGGGCCTGGGCAACAAAAAATTAGCTACTGGTTCTGCCAAAGGGGTACGAACCGGCTGAATCCCATCACTACATCCATCCATCATCTATCTATCTATCTATCTATCTATCTATCTATCTATCTATCTATCTATCTATCTATCTATCTATCTATCATCTATCATCTATCATCTATCTACAGTGGTGGGATTCAAATAGGTGAACAACCGGTTCTCTGTGTGGATGCTGCTTCTGGAAGTCCGTTCTGGGCCTGGGCAACCAAAAATTAGGTAGCGGTTCTACTGAAGTGGTGGGAACCGGTTGAATCCCACCACTGCTGTGAAGATTGGTGAAGGATCAGATAACCCGGAAGGCGGAAAGTTTTTGTTCTGACTTTGAAAGGAGCTGTTTTGCAAATCAGCTTGGGCATTACCTGAGCATTGAGCAGCTCTTCGCATTTCTGTGCCTGTTTCTCCACCGCAGAGACATGTTGCTTCTCCAAGGACTTTTCCCGTTCATCCACCACGACCTTCAGCAGGGCCTGGAACAAAGCAAAGGGCAGACAATCAGCCCAGGCTTGTTGTGATTTCCACTTTCCACCCCCCCCCCCCAAAAAAAATCCACACACACACAAACACACTTTTTATAGAATTAGAGAAGCGAGCCTGAATCCAGCTGCCTATTAAAGGACATCCAGAGACTGAACAGGAGCCATTTTTTTTAAGAGATTAAGGGATGTTAATGAGCCTAATTGAAGTCTGCAACTGGAGAATTTGCTTCTGGGGCTCCTTATGAAACTCTTCCACTGAAGGAGGGGTGGATCACCGATAGGGAAAGTGAAGAGTTTTCTGTTCAACCTCGCGATGAGTTTCCTGGGACCACCCAAGATGACATGGAAAGGCTGGGCTCGCAGGAGGAGAGTCAGACATATTTCACTGGCTGACAAAACTCCACATCCTCTGAGCAGAGACGGCAAGATCCCAGGGGCTGAGCAGGATCTCCATAACCACAAGTCAAGTGAAAACAGATGGAAATTATGACTGCCTTGAAAATGTAGAAGCCATGCCCCCAAAACGCTTCTCGCTCCAACTCAAAGAGATCAGGAACCAGAGCTGAAAATCTAAACTGCAGCAGCCCAATCAGCCCGTTTTTTAAAACAAAACAAAACAAAAAAACCCCACAACAACGCAAAAAGATGAGAACGTTTTCAACCATGCGTGGCGCGGAGGTCTACTCTACTACTCTGGGAAAGGGGAAACTTCAGCACGAAATTCGTGCTGTGTTCTCCCACGTCCGTCGGCTGAGGGATGGCTTCACCAGTTTTTCACACACTTCCCACAGCCGTTGCACACAACCTTGTTACCAACAATCCGTGTAAGATTCCCTTTCGCTCTTTCCCAAAGCTGTTGACAAGAATGGCGCGATGCGCAAGCGCCAAGGTTTAAATACATGGGCGAACCAAAGAGTTTGAACTTGCAACTGTGCTACCAAAATTCTGGTAGGCTTGGGCACATAAGTAGAACATTTGAAATAAGTTATTACTAATTTTTAATGGTTCGTGCTGTTGTGCAAACAACAGCCTAAAATATACTAAAATGCTTGGAACTGTTTTTTTCTCCTCTTAAGTCATTATGTCTTCAAATATTATTATATAATTGTTATATATATATATATATATATATATATATATATATATATATATATATATATATATATATATATATTAAATAATTAGAAATAATGCTAAAGATAAAAGAATGATTCCTGGGTGTGTGCATTATTTATATTAAATAATAAAATATACGAACACCAGGAAGTTATAAAACTATAAAAAGTTTTAATAGAATAAAACCAGAATAAAACCATATATTTTATTATTTAACATGAGTCTACCCAGGAATCACCGTTTTGTTTTTAATATTCTTAAATAAATATATATATATATATATATATTAAATATATATATATATATTATATAACAGTATATATATATATATATATACACTGTTATATAATGTTATATATATATACTGTTATATAATGTTATATATATATAATACATATTATATTACATTACATTACATTATATTGTTATATATTATATTGTTATATATTATATATTATATTATATTTATTGCATTGCATTGCATTGCATTACATTACATTACATTATATGTATATATATATGTGTGTACATATACATATACATATATACAGTTCAAAGGAATGCTTAACAAAACAAAAATATTTTCCCCAAAATACTTCACTGTATATTATACAGAATCAACTAAAAAGTTACAGAACATAATTTAGGAGTAGAGATTAATATAATTAGCAAATGTCAACATTCTCAACAAAAACGTTGTCAGTCTAAAATAAGGGTGAATTACTATTACAAAACAAGCCACAGCCACAGTTTAAAAAAAAGATAATTGGACGTTGGAAACTATTGGGGCGTTTCACAACTAAGCCGATTCTTCCATTTCATTTTTTTTATTTGCATTATTATTTATTAAAAATACACTAATCCTATTTTCAGATTAGACATTTCCAAGGCTTTTGCCAATTTTGAAATGAAAGCCAATTTTTTTTAAAAGGATATGATAAGCCAAAAAAAAAACCCTTAAAAAAACACAAACACCCTACAATCAAAGCAAAACAGCAATTTTAACAAATTAGGACCAGATATTTCTTTCCTATAAACACCAACTTCACAGTTAGGAATTTCATGCAATGTCTCCTAACATTGCTATGCATGGGCAGTCCCGATGTGAAACCAAATCAAGAAGAATTATTTTATTATTATTGTGTCTTTCTGTTGTGACGGGGCTGCGAATGGCAGCCCCAGAAGAAAGAACACCCTAAGCTAGATCATGGAACAGCCAGATTCCTCCAGTTAGACTGGACCTTTCTGGGCCAAGAGCCATGGATTTGGGCCAACGTCAACACCACCTTTCCTTACAGCATGGAAAACAAATAAATCTAATCATAAAAAAATCTCTTTTATATTCTCAGATTAGAGCTAATGCTTTAGGACTGACCAGCACGTAAGCATGTTTTCAAAACTGGTACTTCCCTCCCCCCAGTTTCTAATAGGATTTGTTTATGAGTCTGCAGTTCATTAGCTGGATGGTGGGGTCCTCCCATCTCACCTTCTGCAACCACGAAGCCATGGTTTAAAACCACAGATTACAATATGTTGCATACTGGGAACTAATGAACCAAATCAAATAATAATAATAATAATAATAATAATAATAATAATAATAAGAAGAAGAAGAAGAAGAAGAAGAAGAAGAAGAAGAAGAAGAAGAAGAAGAAGAAGAAGAAGAAGAAGAAGAAGAAGAAGAAGAAGAAGAAGAAGAAGAAGAAGAAGAAGAAGAAGAAGAAGAAGAAGAAAAAAGAAGAAGAAGAAGAAGAAGAAGAAAGTTGGAAGGGACCTTGGAGATCATCTAGTCCAACCCCCTGCTCAGGCAGAAAACCCTACACCATTTTGGACAAATGGCTGTCCAGTCTCTTCTTAAAAACTTCCAGTGTCGGAGCATTCACAACTTCTGGAGGAAGGTTGTTCCACTGGTTAATTGTTCTCACTGTCAGGAAGTTTCTCCTTAGTTCCAGGTTGCTTCTCTCCTTGATTAGTTTCCACCCGTTGCTTCTTGTCCTGCCTTCAGGCACTTTGGAGAATAGCTTGACTCCCTCTTCTTTGAAGCAGCCCCTGAGATATTGGATATTTGTTCCGTTTCACTTTTTGTTCTAATTTTCAATCAGAAGCTGATAGGAAAACTCAACTGGTTCCTCTTTGAGCGGGCGTAAAGGAAGACCCCTCAAAATCCAGTTAGGCTGTTCTGCAAGGCTTCCAATTAATGGAAGATGTCTTTGGAGATTCTTGGCCATCCAGATCACAGTTGACTTTCAAAAGTCAACTGGACTTTTTCCTTGAATACGTTTTCGCTACTCATCCAAGAAGCTTCTTCCCTTCTGACTGAATGGTAGAGAATCCTTCCACTCTCCACCCTTCAGTCAGAGCTGAAGAAGCTTCTTGGATGAAAAGCAAACACGTCTTCAAGATAAAACAAAGTCCAGTCGAAATCTTTGGAAAACCTTCCCTGTTTCTTTGGAACCTTTGGAGTCCTTGACTTACAACAGTTCATTTAGTGGGCATTCAAAGTTACAATGACACCGAAACAAGTGACTTACAACCATTGGAGTATCCCCACTTACAACCATTGGAGTATTTGGTCACGTGACCAAAACATAGACGCTTGGCAACAGACTCCTATTTAGGACGGTCGCAGTGTTCTGGGGTCCTGTTCTCACAAGCGAAATCAATGGGGAAGACGTGTTACTAATTTAAGAACTGCAGTGTTTCGCTTAACAACTGGGGCAAAAAGGTCGTAAAATGGGGCAAAATTCACGTAACAACCGTCTCTCTCAGCAACAGAATTTTCCAGCTCAATGGTCCTCGTAACTCAAGGATTACGCTAAGTAGGGAGACTTCTGTTGAATGAAATAAAACTCAACTGAAAAGAGGCATGCATGTATATAAGCAAGCATGTACACACTAGAACGCTGAGTACACGTGAATGTCCTTGTCATGTCTGCATCTGAATGTACACCTCAGCCTCTTCTAGAGCACCCCTCCCCGCCTTCCCATTGCCACTGTAGATCCCCCAATCATTTGTCCCCCAGCTATGCAGCTCTCAGAATGAAAGTATCCATACTCACCCATCATCTCTAGGACAGATCTTAAGGGTGGACCTTAAGCAGTTTCTTAGCTTCCTCTTGGTAATCTTGCTACAGGAATGCCCTATAAAGCAGCTCCTCACCAACACAGACTGCTGAGTTTCTTCCAGGAGTTACACAGCCAGAATGTAGGAGTCCTTGGTTCTCTCTGAGCTCCGTTGTGTTCTTGCAGACATAGCCATCACCCAAACTAGGTAACGTCCTCAGTGCAAGTCATGATGCATGATGCTAGCACTGATGATGTTACCCAGTTTGGCTCATAAAACATCTGCAAGAAAACACCCAAGTTTAGAGTAATTGAGAGGCTGCCACAAAGAAGAGGAAGGAGTCAAACTATTCTCCAAAGCACCAGAAAGCAGGACAAGAAACAACAGTTGGAAACTGATCAAAGAGAGAAGCAACCTGGAATTAAGGAGGAACTTCCTGACAGTGAGGACAATTAGCCAGTGGAACAGCTTGCCACCAGAAATCATGGACTCTCCATCACTGGAGGTTTTTAAGAAGAAACTGGATAGTCACTTGTCTGAGATGGAATAGGTCCTTCTGCTTGAGCAGGGGGATGGACTAGAAGACCTCCAAGGTCCCTTCCAGTTCTATTCTATTCTGTTCTGTTCTGTTCTATTCTATTCTCTATTCTATTCTCTATTCTACTTTACTCTACTCTACTCTACTCTCAACTATCACCAAGGACCTCTCATTTCAAGCATGAGCTGCAGATATTCTCTTTTACTGATGCTGCAAATAACTTAATATTTCTCTAGCAAGATATAGGACCATCAGCAAATTTGGTTCTCTTCT